TGAGCTGTGGGTTTTCTCGTCAGTAGGCTGTGGCAGCCTGCGTAGGAGCAATTTTGAATGCTGGTGGCGGCAAAATCGCCTCACTTTATTTTTTCTTTTGTGTTCTGTGGCGATTATAACGGCACTATACACTCAGCCGTGTCAACCTTAACTGCCTAATATATTTGACCACACCAGAGGATAGCCGAACTGCATGGGTATTGCCCCCTCACTATATGAAATTCAACGAGTCTCATAAATCGAACAACATATATTGTACGCGTACCCCACGGTGCCGCGTTATCCGGACATGATTTGAGAAAGGTCTCAAATAACACAGCATATCCAAAATACAGTGTCGACGACAGTCACTTCACGACGATCGCACGGAATCCGGCTTGTCTTGGAGTACGTTTTGAAGAGTGATGTTTTTTATACACAGCACTAGTGCGAATGAACGAACGTGTCTATTTAGTTCCCATTCCCCGGACCCTATCAGCTACTTCTCGCCAAGACCGGGAACATATCTGGGAAGGCTTTTCGGAGATTATCTCAACGGAAATAATCCTCGAAGAACGTCGAACGGCCTGCGTCGCGGGCTGCTTGACGTTCGCTTTCTTCGCCCGTTCTCTTCGCTCGTTTCTTGCGAAGGTCCAGAAGGCTATAAGTCCTGGTATTCCCAAGTTCTCACAGTGGAAGATTACAAAAACACGCAAGCATCCTGAACAGGCAAATAGAGTAAACACTTAGAAGGAAAGCCGGCAAACTCCGAACACACGATGCAGGTGGGGAGTCGCGCTGATCGGGTTTCCACAGCTCAGGCGGGTGGCAGAAATTTTTGGCTAATAGGGGTCACTCGAGTCGCAAAATGGCGGCGGCCAGCGAGCTGTTTCTGCAAAGGTCTATACTGTCTCCGTGATAAAAGATAAGAGGAAAACCATATAATAACTTTAAAAAAGAAAGATATGTACTTGTCTGTGTTTCTGACCTCTTTGGGTTTATTCTTTCTGTGTTTGTAAGTCTCTATAAACAAGCTCCCTAAATTTTAATTCAAGTTGTGTGAGCTTCATGTCCTGACTCAGTACGTCCGCCCGTCACCCTGTGTTCAATCCCCGCAACTTCTTTCAAGCCGTCAGCTACATCTCAATAATTAACTTTCTGCGGCTCCGTCTACGCTCCCTGGGGCTTTGCTTGCGAAAAAACGTGGCCCACGCCTCCGTGGACTTTGTGCTGGGATTCCACTCCCATACTTGGTTGTCAAGCTACAGGATCATGCAGATTTCAAGAATAGAGATATCCCAGGAACTTCGACTCATGAGAATGACTCTCCCCGGCCACGACAGCACTCCTCGATACGTTTTACGCCACAGACCCTCGTTCCTCTTCCTCAGGAGTTCTGCAGTCGGGCTCTTGGAGGCCGCAGGGGTAAAAATCCTGGGGAGGTACGCAAGTCTTGCCAGAAGGCTTCGGACTTCAACTGAAACCCCCTGTTGTACTTTTGGACAAACAGCTTTCCCCGGAGGGACTTCTGTCTCACGGGCCCAAGTTCGCCCTAGACCTTCCAGCATCGAGGGTAGACCAACTGATATCCGTTTACAAGTAAGCAGCAAGTAACCCTGAAAAGGATCGTCAGAACTTCGTAGGGACAGCTGTGCATTCCGTTTGTGCCCACCTGCCTCCTCCAGGCAAGTCATATGTATACTCAACAGTAGAGGAGCTCCGCAACGCCCAGCTAAAGCTGCTAGAGTAAGAAAAGATGGTAGTTTTCGTTGTTATGAACGAGGACATCTAAGAGGAAAAGGTGGAAGCTGCACTCGAAAAAAGAACTGCTTTACTCAAGGAAAGACCTTCAGGGTCTTTAAGGTCTGAGGCTAGGGAGATATGCTCTCAACTGAACCTCCCCGCTCTGAGAAAGAAATGCGTTAGCTTTGCCCGCACATCAGTTCATAAGAGTGCCTTTTTTTTCTGCAAAGACCCATGCAGAAAACGCCCCGCTCCGCGGCATTGTTTCGGAGAACGGGTGCTGGCAGAAGAATGGTCTCCAACGGCCAACTCTGCCAGCAACACCAGCGGTCGAACCAACGAGAGCCCCTGGGAGACAGACGGTCTCCAACACAACCATGGCAAATCGTCACCAATGACTTCTTCCATCTCCACAGTGTCACCTACCTACTTGTAGTGGACTACTTTAGCAAGTACATTGTGATAGAGCAAAAGGGGGACACCTCTGCTATCAAAGGATCGCAACCCTAAAAAAGGAGTTTGCTTGATTCGGCATTCTAGAAGGGGTCTGTGACAACGGCCTGCCATTCAACTCTGAAGCATTCAAAGGGTATCTCAAGTGCTTGGACATGACAAATAATCCAAGTTCTCCTGATTACCCACAGTCGAATGAACTTGCAGAGAGGTCAGTTCAAAGAATGAAAACAGCTTGACCAAGGCACCGAAGGAAGGCAACGACCTGTCTCTTGTTCTTATGGAGCTTAGGGACACACCGATGGATCAGCTCCTGTTCCCATTGGAACTGCTAATGGGCCGCAGGATCACAACCCTCAAGCCAGCTGCTCCGCGTTAACTTGAGCAGCACTACAACATCAGGGAGGTTCAAGCACGCCTTCAGTTCCATCAAAAGTGTCAACACCGACATGGTGACGCACACAGCAAACCACTACGTCCTCTGAGTCAAGGCGAGAGAGTCTATTTCCGTCGAAACCACAAATGGGAACCCGGAATTGTGGTCCAAGTCGGACAACAGCCACGATCATACCTAATCAGAGCGGAAGACGGGGGAGGGGAGGGGGGGGGGGGCATTACAGAAGAAATCGATTCCACATCTGACCATTCGCTTGAAAAAACAACGCGATCCCTGAGGACTACTACCAACTCACGTTCAACGACCAACCTCACCAATGTCCTGCCCAGTAGTCCCGCATACCCGAAACCACTCGATCAAGCCATCAAGTTGTTCAGCCAGCAAGGTATCGCCGAGTCTGTGGACTCTGAACTCTTAAAATTCGCATAAACTTTCTTTTTGCAAAATAAAAGGGAAAAAAGGATCTGTTATGTATTTAGAAAAGTATGGTTGGTGGTGCCCACTTCGCAGTTTCTCACAAATCGGCGTTGATACCCACACGTGCGACTCAGCTAGCCTTACACCACAAAACAGCTATGTGCCTGGCGTCGTTCCCGTTCTCGTAATAAAGTTTGTCAACCAAAAACATTTCAGTATGAACAACGTTATCCACAAACACGGCACGTGTCAGTTCCTGGATCTCCTGGATGTTTACCTCCACTCAACCTCAGTGGAGTACGAGGGCAATGTTTATATAAAGAGAGCGGAGGTGTGCATCGGGTCATGCTTTGCAACAGTTCTGAGTAAGGTATGTATTTACTCGCACAATGAACGCACTCGCGTAATGAACGCACCCCCCAAGTCGGCTTCCAAAATTTCGACTTTTTTTTTTCACTTGCATATTAAACCCACCCTCAACTGGGAAGTCAAAACTTTGACCCCCTCCCCTTTCCCCACACGCGCGAAATGAACGCGCTTTTCTATCCTGGTGCAGCGAGGTCGCAAATGCATGGGTAGCGTGGCCGAACAAAACGCCTTGCAAAAGGCCTTAAAAATAAAAAAAGACCCATTGGAATCATTTATCGAAACTACAGTACGAAAACCAGTGTCTCCCACTTAGACTTGGTTCTTTCTAATTTAACTTCTCTTGAATCACGTCGGACAGTCGCTCGCCTTACTCTTTTTCATAACTTTTATTACAACATGCAATCATTCATGCTCACTCACTGTAAGTCTGTCTCATACATTTCTTTGCGTCATGATCATTCCTTGAAAATTGCACCTATATTTGGTCGCACTAATAGATACAAATACTCTCCTCTTGCTCTGTCCATTAAAAATGGGAATTCTCTCCCAAACGACATAGTCACTGAATAGAATGATAAAAAATATTCCGCAAAAAATTTTTGGCTTTGGTACTATGTTTTCAGCGCCATGTCTGCTTGTGTTTCCTATAAATTGTGCACTGAGTCCCCAGTTCTGTTGTGCCCGGTTTCTGTAAACTTTGTTCTGAATTCTGTATAGTTTGTTTTGCGTTTTTGTTTGTTGTTAATTTTTAACCTTAGTTAGTTCTTTTATTTCCATTATATCATTGCATTTGTTTGTATTTTTCTACCCCCCTCATGTAATACGTTTGAACGAACGTATTTGAGGCGAATAAAACTTGAAATTGAACTTGATTCGAGTCCATTGAGCTGCGAAGGCGAATACATCGGCCATCGGAAGATGCCTAAATGCTCGCTTTAGGGAACACCATTTAGATGTTACCAAGGCATCATCGGACTCGTTCCACCCAATAGTTCTGCATGCCCGTACCTGCCACGATTGCACCCCAAACTTTGAAAACACCACTTAGCTAAGTTCACACATAGATAAATGTGGGCCCGAAACAATAGAAGCGTTTAAGGTCAGATATGCTGTGAGCAATGTCTCTGGGACATCTTTGGCTTTGTCGTCAAAAAAGCTGGAATTTCTAGCGTAAAAATTATCGTAAAAAGCTTGTTGTGATCAATTAATTTTGTCTTTTCCTTTCTTTTCTCCCCTTTTCAGGGGTTAATTTCCTGATTATAATGCAGTTAATGTAAAGGTACAAGCGAGCTGGACAAGAACCTAGCTGTGTTTGGAGATTTGTGTTTGTCCTTTGTCCCTCTTGTTCCCATTTTCCAGGATTATTTTCGCCATTAATTTCCTTTCTTTTTTTTTCTTCCTTTCCCCCTTTTTCACGAAATTTCCTTAAGTTTTTCCCTATAATTTTTTTGCTATCATTTTAATTTGGTATTTTTAAAGTTTGTGAGTAAATTGGTTTTATATTAAATTTTGAATATTTTCGTTTTCTTTCAATTCTTTGTCGTTCAAGGTCGTAGCGTAATGGGCATCTCATAAATGTTCGCTGCTCATTGAAAGAACTGTGTGTGTCTGTGTTTGTCCTTTACGTGTTTTATTCTTTCAGTGCATTCTGTCAGTTCCTCAAGGCTCTTCTCACATCATGTGGTGACATTTGCGTCCAGTGTTATATAGCCCTGTCACATGGAAGAGGTGGAGGAGACCAGCTTACTAAAGAGTATATCAGCATCACTGGTATTTCCTTTCTCGTTGGAAATGACTTCTGCCCCTTTTGTTTAATGGGAGTCCTTTGCATGTTCTTTGCTTACTTTTCAAACGGTTCAAAAGTGTGATATGGGGTAGGCAGTTATGCGACAATGGTGCATGCCCAGTATATCACGGTAGCTTAAACAAGAGACTTTGGAAGTGAACATCAGGAGAATCTCCTGTTTCATTCTTTCTAATCCAGGGTGCCAATTTCGAAACATGTTGTACAATCTTTAAATAACTTTTAGCACAAGGAAGGAAAAAGGAGAGGAGGCATTATGTCAGTTCGCTATGCAATTCTAGAGATTTTACAACAGTACAGTACAGGACACCAAGCCGGTTGGAACCAGATCATTACATCTGTCAGTGTGGCTTCTAGGTACTTTAACTAGCTTATTAGTTCGCAAAAGAGCTCAATGAATTGTGGAGGCTAAGCCTCGTAAGACTTCTGCAGACTGACTGCACTGAGCAATAAAACGAAGAATTCAGCTGGATTGTGTAACGTAGAAAGATAAACCGGGAAAAGAGCATGGGCAAAACTGGGGAGCTAAACCACGCAAGGCATTTCGTGCTATGTCTCGTCTAAACTATTTTCTTTGTTGCTGCACTTTCTGTCATCTTTAGCAGGCAGTATGCACTGATTTCACTTACATATTGGGTGGATTCGACCATAAAGCTAGACGTTTGTATTAGAAAACCAAGCGTATGTTTTATCGGAGTAATGGCACATAGAATTTGCACTCTTTTTAAGAGGGATAATTTATCTAAGCCAATTGTTTCATACTAAATTGCCAAAGATTCTGCCCCAGTTTTCAAAAACAGACTGGCAAATGCTTTCATTTATTTAGTAAATTTGATCTGTTTATTTACAGGAAACACTGCCTCTATTGCTGTCATCAACAGCCAGCTGGCTGAAATCAAGCCACCACACAGCTCCACGAGACTCCCAAGGGCACTGAGCACACGCCTATTCTGGAAGGCTTCTGAATGGCGCCACTGGCTGCTGTACCACTCGCTTCCCTGCATGTACAGGGTCCTTCTGGACCAATACTGGCCGTACATAAAGAAGCTGGTGGAGGCCGTCCATGCACTTTTGAGGGACACCGTAACTCCAGCATCCATTGATGTTGCACGCGAGTCCTCCCCCTTCGGTTTCTTTGTGTCCTGCTTCGGGCCAGCTTTAATAATGTCATATTGTGCTTTCAGAGAAACTCCTCTGGACCTTTGTGGGCATGACAGGGAGGCTGTATGGAGCTCCAGCAATGACGTTCAGCCTGCACCAGTTACTCCACCTAGCGGAAGCAGTGCAGCAACTGGGGCCATTGTGGGGCCATTCTGCTTTTGAATTTGAATGCGGTAACGGGCAGCTTGTGAAGCTGGTGAAAGGATCAAATGCTCTTCCGGAAAGGGTAGTGAAGTATCAGCAGTTGGGATCAAACTTTGGTGTCCTCGCTTCTAAGTGACAGCGTCAAAGTGATGTGCTGTGATATTCTGGGATACACTAAACACCAAAACTTCAAGTATGCAAACGAAGTGTGCCTGCTCGGTTCCTCTTCGAAGGCATCCTTGAGCAAAGAGGAACAGAGTTGTCTTTCCGCTGGATTTGGGGCCGCCTTTGATCAGGCTACAGAGTACAAGCACTTCGCATGGAAAGGGCAGATTTGTCACAGCCGAAACTATGCCAGGAGTAAAAAGACAGACTCCTAGGTCATTCAAATAAAGGATATGTGCGATTTCACCATTTTGAGAGTGTTGCCTTTGAAAGGTGAGGTAACACTTCTGTGCAGGGAAGTTGTCATCACTTGTGCAGGTGCTTTCCCGCAGCACATCAGGCTTTGTTTTCTTTCTCACGTGAACTTGCAGGCTGTTAAACCACAGCAGCTGAAGGCACCATGCCTTTTTCTCACTTTCAGGAAGCCCTCAGCATGCTATGTCTGTGATCTGTCAAACCTTCTTGAGCGCGATTGATGTAATGTAACCAGGTGTGCCGAAGTAAAGTGACTGTTCCCTAGGAGTTGAAATATCCAAAACTACATCCTGTGATAATTTGTCCCTGTTTTGCCTTTGTGTCAACAAGGGAAATCTATCGAGATTGTGCCTTTCACATCTTCAGACTTCTTGTTTTGCTCCTAAGGTGTTCCTTCAGGTAACTCTACATTTATAAGTGATTTTCTTTGTTTACAATTTGTTATACTTCGTGTGCTTGATTTGCTCTTCTGAGACTAGTCGGGCTAATTTGATTATCGACCTGTGGAAGATGGCTATTGTTTGAGTAAATCAATTCCATGTCTCAGCCTCCTAATGTGTCTTTCCCTAACCTTTCTGACAAAAATGTGTGAAGCTTCTAGGGGTAGCAGTAGGGAAGGCTTGTTTTTAACTGCAAGCAGGCAAATGAGAAAATCACTCTTTTGTTATTATAATGCAAGTTGAAAAGACTGAAATAGACTTAGACCTTTCGTTATTCTGTCTACATTGCATCATAATTGAATAGCTTCAAAAACCTTCTGTATTCGTGGACCACAAAATAGGCTTTTGTTAATAGCATTTCACATATGATTTGATTGATTTTGTTTTCATACTTCTGTGTTATTTTGACTAGTTAATTGTTTTAGTAACTATAGGTTATGTATGAGGGTTATAAGTTCTTGGCTCTCTTAATTACTGTACTGTCATTCGATGATTTGTCTCTTAACACCTACAAGTACTTGTGAAAATCTTAAACTGGCACACGTAAAACTGAACAGCAAGATAGTTACTGATGCTTGTCTAGTGAGCTTTCAAACACAAATATTAAATAGAGCGTGCACATTAGAATGTATAGCAATGTATTTCTGGGGTGGAGTTGCCCTTTGAGGTTATTACTTGAAGTAAGCATTTGTGCAAGTTGGTTTAAATTTATGTAGTGTCTAATGGCCTTTCGGTGTCTTGGGGGTTCTAGTAATATTTTTTTTCTGAGATCAATCATAGTATAGAAATAAATGTAGAGCGGATGCAGAGGATGCTAACTGCTGTTAACGAATTCCAATAAGGTAGAAATGTTTGGCGACTTCATTATAAAAAACAATTACTTTTTTTTCATTTCAATGCTTCTAAAAATGCCTTCTGCACTTGATGGGCCAGCTGCATTCTTCAAGTTGGCATGAATCTGCCTAGAACGTGCCTTTTTTAGCTCGTCTTAGCAAGACATAATAGCAGTAGGTGATGCCACTAAAAAACCTGTGTCGACATTTAGCTAAGACAGCTCTATATCAATTTCACTATCCACTAGCTGGGCTGAGCATTTTCAATTCTAGGCATACTGTAAGTTTTGGTTGGCAGGAATTCCATTTGTTCTATATTATTTCCAGTTTCCACAAACTGGTATATATGCTTTACAGAATAGGCAACTCTGCCACCAAATGTAATACCTATAACTTAAATTTCCATAGCTGTTTGCACTTTGTTGGGCCAGCCTAACAACTAAAAAAATATAAACGACATACATATCCGAGATTTTTTGTTTCGCGAAATGTTTTACCTGGATGCCTGAGGGTTTTTCAGCGAATTTCTGCTAAGTGGGTCTTTTACAATACATTCAGGTTTCTAGGAACCACATTTTGTTTTCAATATTCATTTCAGTTTGCACAAACTGGCTTTGGGGATAAGTTAACAGAACAGCTCCCTGAATGGAGGTTCCAAGTATAGAGCCAGATACCTAGGTGGTTTTAAAAAAACCCAGTATGTGACCACTATAGTTTCTGCTCCTGGATTTGTTTTCCCACAATATGTATCACATGGCGTAATTGATATCAATTTTCAGGTGATGGTTCCACTAACTTCATTCTGGAACTGAAAACTTCCAGAGCAGAATTCAGATTCTTCATTCTGGAACTGACTTTTCCAGAACCAAATCCAAATTCTCCAATTAGGAACTGACGTTTCCAGAACCGAATCCAGATTCTCCAATCTGGAACCGACATTTCCAGAATTGAATCAAGATTCTCCATTCTGGATTTCGGCTTTCCAATTAGCTTCCAGAAAAAAATCAAACTGGGTTCTCACACTCCAGTATGTGCCTGCGAAACTTTGTAACATATATTTATATTTCAGCTTGCTTTTGAAAGGGAACTTAGGTTTGAAACCGACATTGAAGAAGACGAAAGATGCCTCAAGAAGGTTCTCCTAGAAACAGCAGAGTTGGCCACCTTCCTTTGCTGTCCCCCAGCCCTTAACACTGTCTGCAACACCAACGAACCATGGAGTCGTCACAATCTTCTGCTTTCGCACCCACACCATCTGACAATGATGCACCATGCGTGAAGGGGATCATTTTTTCAAAGGAAGAACTGTGAACAGCCGTGTCTAAGATCAAGCCATCACAATGCCCTTGTCCAGATGGTGTGGCACCTGCCTTTTATAGGATGATAACGCAGTACAGTTTGATCCCTCCCTCAGCTGTCTACTTCAAAGTATTTTCGATGAGGGAGCTGTTCCTACCACCTGGCAACACGCCTTACTCACCCCTATTCACGAAAGGAAAGAGAAGCCTACAAGTGACGTCAAGCATTAGCGTCCAACCTCAATAACATTAATCATCTACCGCACATTAGGATGCATACTGAACAGTCAGTTCCTCGATTTTTAGAGAGCACTGGATACTTATTGCAGACACAGCACAGTTTTAGGCACGCCCGCAGCTGTGGGACGGTCCTGGCGACCCCGTGTCATTTTGTAAGCAACAATCTTGGCAGTCGCAAAAAGAAAGATTTTCTACGGCTTCATCTCAGTTACGCGTTCGATGCCCTCAACATCGATCTCCTGCTACATAAAATGTCAGGCGCCAGCGTTCATGGCTTCCTTCTCAAGTGGCTGCCAAACTAACTGAAGGGAAAAATCCCACAATTTGTTTACCAAGGTGTGCACTGAGCTACGATGAACGTCCCCTCCAGTGTGCCACAGTACCGGTTTCTTGTCAATGACATGCCTCAGGATGATAGATTTTCTTTCGTTCAGTACGCAGACCACACCTCGATGCTGGCTCCACTTACTGACACCTGCCTCCTTCTCCAGGACTACATCAAAGACATAAAGTGCCGGGTGACTAACAACTGCTAGCGGCTGCACACCACGAAAAGTGCCGTGATGCGCTTTAGCAGGCCCCACAGGGTGGGCAAATCGAGCTATCATTTGCTCAGTGAGCCCCTACCATGTATGACTCTTTGTCAAGCTTAGAAATTACATTCACACAAACATTAGATTTCACAGTGCACATAGGAAGTGTTGTACCAAAGGCTCGGCGAACCATGGGGGTTGTTTCTTGTATCTCCAGGTCATGGGGACCTTCGCCATAATCTCCGGTCATAAGGTGCATAAGACAGATTTCCAGAAAGATAAGGGAGGAGCCCCAAAAGACCAGTTCGACCACTTCGAAGTTTCCAAAACTTGCTTTTACGCAAAATGGTCCAACCAGCACCACAAAACCCTCTGCCATGGCCACTGATGCTTGTGTCATCGCCAAGTTTCAAATTGAGGGAATACAAAGCATTTGTACATGACTTATTTTTCGTGGGCTCCATTTTTCGCGAATTCGACTGAAGCTGAAGAGCTGGAATAATTAATTGGTACTCATTTTTTGCAATCCGCAAGGACCTCACTACAGCTTTCTGTATGTTCACATTTTAGCCAAATAGTTTGTGAGACCTATTTTTTGCAAAATGTAGACGATTCGTGAAAATTAGGTCTTCGTGAAAATTAATTTGTTTCCAGTATACAGTGGTACTAGTTTACTTGATTTCTCGTGACGGGCATGAAGGGGGCCAGATGGAAGGCGGATCATTATAATAAGGGTGACAAAGTTTATGCCACAATAGGCTGGGACACATCACAACAGATATAGTAGTCGGTAAGTCAGAGTCATATAGGATCACAAGGACACTCATTGTTATCTCTGTCTCTTGTGCTCCGAAGGAAAGAGCTAGATTTTCGTCACTCAATACTGCAAGCTTAGTGGCAGTGCAGCAGCCGCCCGTCGCCCCGCCCGCCGCCTGCCTCCCCCTCCCCCCCCCCCCCCCCCCCCCCCCCTCCGCCGGGGGGGTCACGTTTCAGCTGCAAGACCGCAACTTTATGATAATGCTAAAAGCTC